GCAACTGGGAGGCTGAGGCAGGAGGATTGCAAATCCAAAGCCAGCCACAGCAACTTAGCAAAACCCTAAGCAACTTAGCAGACCCTCTCTCAAAATAAAATACAAAAAAAGGGGGGTGGGTGGCTGGGGTTGTGGCTTAGTGGTTAAAGTGCCCTGGGTTCAATCCCTGCTACCAAAAAGAAAGAAAGAAAATTAAAAAGCCAAGATTGTCGTAGGCCCCAGGGATGAGTTGGTCACTCTAGTCCCAAGGTCTGGCCACAAATGATAAGAGAACTGATCTGATGTCTGTAAAGCCACACTCAGCTGTGTCTTGGAGGTCCTGTGAGGATCACCAACCTAAGCGTGGGATTGGCCAGAGTACCAGGGTGTGTGGGAAGCTTGGCAGGCCAAACCAATGGGAATCTGCCCTACTCTTTGGGTTGGCCTCTTGGAATTGCTCCCTTTGCCTTCAGTAAATGACCTTCAGCCAGGCCAACAGAAAAGACTAAGGATATCATTAAGATGGAGCTGAGAGAGCTTGCTTATTGGTAATGAGGGAAACCAAACTTTGGAAACTCCAAAAATCGAAAGAAATAAGGCAATAAAGAATAGTATCGCCAGGGCTGCTGGGAATCAGGCCAGATCGGTTCAATTCTGATCATGCTGGCAGAGTAGAAGGTACCTTTGCTGCTGGGCTCTTGACCTCATGGCCTAGCCCCCTCAAACATCTTCCCCAGGAGCAATGGTCCTAGGACAGGCCGATTTAAGGCTCCTTTGGAAGCTGCAAGGCCAGGTCTGTGCACCTTCACAGTGCTTCAGCCTGGTAGGGCCTCTCTGGCAGAGGCAGTAGAGTGGGATGTGGTCCAGCGTCCACAGCAGCCCGAGGCGTCACCTTGCCCCGGCTCTGCGCCATGGGCTTGGGTCCTGTCTGGCTTGCTCGCTCACCTGCCTTGTTCTGTTTGTTTTGGCTGCTCTGCCTTGCCCTGCCCTGCCCTGGCTGGCTAGCTGCCCCGCTCCGCACTGGGAATGGCAGCTCGATGCCTGAAGGACGGAGCTCCCGGGACAGAACAGCCCCCTCTGCAGGCATGCAGCCCCAGCCTTCTCTCAGCTCCTCAGCCAGTAAGTGTGAGGGAGGCACATTCTGGCTTCCCACTCCCTGGCTCATCCTGAAGTCCCTCAGGGATCCCCTCCAGAGCTGTCAGCCCAGCCCAGCTGTCTGTCTTAGCTTGAGGAGCAAGACCTGCACCTGGGGTGGGGGAACAGCTGGAGGCACTGTTTATTCCAGTTAGAGGCCCTGTGCCTGAGGCCCAGAGAAATACCAGAAGAATGGGTGGAAGAATATGGCATGGAGGGAGGGAGTAGAAAGCCACTGGGGTGTGCAGTGGGCCTTGCCTTGGCAGCAGCCAGGAAGAGGACCAGTGTCAGAAATTGGGTCCGTGGGAGGGGGACAATGGTAAAATTGAAATAGCTGAGGAACTGTGTTGTGGAGTGTTTCTTGAAGCTCAGCATAACGTCATATTAAGGGCACAAGGTTTGGGGTGAGGCAGACCCGAATTTAAATCCAGCTATGCTACTTTCAGAAGTGTGTGAAGTAGCTTTGCCTCCTAGAGCTTAGGTTTCCTTATCTATAAAGCAGGGAGAAAATGGCATCTACTTCAAATGTTATAAAAAGAAATGAGAAAGTAGAAGGTTTTAATACAATGCCTCGCAAGGTTAATGGCAGTTCGTTTGATATTTTTAGTTCTGTCTGTGTTGATGTCTGTGATGCCTCTCTTTGCTTCTTTTCCTCTCATTGTCTTTCCTTGTAGAGTTTCTAAACACAATCCTCTTCACCCACAGGGGCCCCAGTCAGGTCCTCCAGATGGATTTGGTTGGGTTAGAGTGGGGCCGTGTGTTGTGTGGACACGCTTGCTTGCCTCTTTAGAAAGGGAATAGAGCTTGCTGTTTCCCGAACTTGCTGCTTGCTTACCCAGAGCTGCCTACCCAGTGGTGGTGACTGTGGGGCCACCATTGGCTGTGTGACTCCCTCCCAGCTGTGCCTCTTGACTATGCTGGCCCAGCTGTGCCATGCTGGTGCTGTTCTAATGCATTTGTCTTGCAGCCTCTTGCTCCTATGAGGAAAGGCTGGGCCAGTGAGGCCTTGGGTTAGGGTTAGCCCCAGCTCAGTCTGAGTCCTCCCTTTCCCTGCTGGCATCCTCTGCTAATAGTAGAGTTTCCTGTAACTAAGCTGCCTAGAAGAGCAGGATGTCACCAGCTCTCTCTGGGCTTGGGATGCGGGGTGGGAAGGGAGGCTCTGAAGGCACCAACTCTGCTTGCCTTTGGTCTTAGCCTTTTCTTGATTTCCTTGCGGGACACATCCTGGCATGAGAACTGGTTTGAGATTTATAGCTTTTCCAAAGCTTGTCTAGAGTAAATGGAGCCATTTCTTGGGTGAGAGGCTATCAAGAGTTTTTACAGTTCCAAGATCCCTTATCCCATAGAAGCCCTGAGGAGGAGATGAGCAGGGTGAAGAGAATGAAGCATCTATCCTAGGGTTCTGTTCATCCTTTGGCAGCCCGAAGCCCTCATCCCTCACTAGATTCTGCTCTCAGGCTGGCCATTGCCCAAGGCTAGGTTCTGGGCCACTGAATGAAGGCTAAGAGTAAGGGTGGTAATTGAGACCTGACTGAGCCCCTTCTGGTGAAAGAAGTAAATGGGGGTGGAAACAGCCATAATGGGAGATGCTCCTCAGAGAGACTGAACCTGCTAGAGATGGGATGCACAGATTCCACATAGAACATTCATGGTGCTCCAGGCTCCTCGGCTGTTAAAAGAGTGTTTTCTGTGACCTGGTTGTTGATGGAGAGGGAGACAAAAGCCAGAGAACCATAATTAATGGGTCGGCTTGG